CCCTGCGGCCAAAGCCTTTGTAATTCCTTGTAATGATCGCAACGTTCTTACGCGAATCGGAAATAAGATCGACTTTCTTTATAAATTCGTTTTATTATGTTTTTCATATTTTTCCGCATTTATTTGGTTACTTGTCGTTGGCTTTCGCAGAGATCCGGTTCCTCTGGAAAATTAGGGTTTTCCTAAGTTTCCTTATTTAACGGAAATCGACAAGTGTGAATTTCGGTTCCCACAATAACTCTGTTATCCACGCTTTGACTTTCATATCTTTAATATATAATGTTATATATATATATCTATATATATATCAAAATGGATATCAAAATATAGAAAATAAAAGAGCATAATTGATTATCCAAACAAATTTGTTATATATACTTTTAAATTGAATATAAACAAAAACATAAATGAAAGGGGTAGAATAAAATAGTTATAATAAAAAAATAAAAATTCTAAAAATAAATCATAAAAACGGTATGGATTGGTTTTTGGTATGGATTGATTTTGTGTGTTTAATCGTGTGGCCATAAAGAGGAGAGAGTCAACATTCCTTAAATTTAATATCTAGTAAATGATAATCAAGCTAACATAAAACGAATGAATACCTTCTGTCTAAGGGTAAAATAGTCAGAAAAACACTTTGAAAACATAAAATGTATTCTATAAGTGTAATGTGTCTGTGGATGCAAAGGAAAGGACAAATGTGTCTTTTAACGTAACTCACTCGCAGAAAACACCCTAACCTTGGGAATTGGCCAATGCATGGCATATTCAGTTCATAGATTGACCTCATATGATCCATACAAATTTGTTTAAGTTCATATATTTATGTAAATATTCTCTTTAATATTTACTAGATTTTGACCCGTCCTTTCAAAGGGCAGATATATCTTTTGTTTTTTTTTTCAAAAAAAATTATTTTATATTTGTGTTCTTTTCAATAATATTTGTGTTAAAACCAATTAAACTTAAACCCGTAGAATATATTAAAATAAATAATACGTCCATAATAATATCAAATACACATTAAATATATACTCATATTTTAAATTAGATATTGGTCATATAATTAGGTACCAAATAGAATATGGTTACATTATATATGTAGATGTTATCTTCTAGGGAATTTAGATGAAGTTTTAAAATATGTTGATTAGGGTAATTATTAATTGATGATTTTGAGTTCTATCACGTACTTTTCTTATAATTATTTAATTTTAGTTTTTTTTTCTGATTAAATAAAGTATTTATATGTAAACAGAAAAAAATGGGTCACAATTATTATGCTGAAGTGGTGGTTAAGTATAGATCATTGAAAATAATTAGTTAAACTAAACCTCTATCGACTGATCATGTTCCTAATTTAATAGAATAAATTGAAGATAGTGACGTTATATATTTAGATGTTATCTATTCAGAAAATTTTGATACAGTAATTTCACAAATAATTATTTCTTTATTATAAACATACATAGTCAATAATAATGCTTATTGATAATATATATACAGAATGGTGTTAGGCATGGGAAAATCAAAACATATAATAGATGAATTGTTTGCTAACAATGATTGTAGTAATATTCCTTCTTTGCTTAGATATATAGTTAATGTATACGTGATATTTTTATTTTAAAGTAATACATCCCTAAATTATAGAAAGTAAAGGGGAGGTTATAAAATTCCAAGTCTAGTTATAGATATATGGTGAAACCTTTATAAATTAATAATGTTGGGATTACACTAAAACTATAATTTTTTATTAATTTACAAAAATTATTAATTTATCAATGTATTAATTGAACCAAAAACTCAATTTGAAACTATAAAATTATATTATTTTATTGAGATTTTAATGTAAACTAAGTCATAAAGTATTAATTTAAATAGTTATAATGTATATGTTAAATACTGACAGTTAATTATTTTTAAATATGGATTGTAAATAATTAGTTGGACTACAAATATATCAACCGGTCATGATGATCTAGTTTAATAGAATAGATTAAATGCTATATCTAGGAGTATACGTAAACAGGGACCGTATGATCCTAGTTGAAGATCCCCATATCCATATGGGTCTTTTTTTCTCCAACAATTTCAAAAAAAACCCTTGCTTACGGAGCAATCAAAAATTCATTACGGGGTTGATGGCACTAATAGTTTAGTGTTTAAGTTTTATTGGGATCGTTCATAAATGATAATAAGTCAACATGGCGTAGAGACACATGTATAGCAGTCGATTTTACTCAAGTGTACCAACGCTGCAACACAAGGTGCGTTAGAAACACTATATTAAAATAATAGTCATATTAATATCCGGTGAGTCTTGCTTTTTACGATATCTTTTTGAGCATCTCCGGCGGCGTGGTCACCGGCCGTCAACTTCACCATCATCATTATCGTCGTTATATCAACATGCATGACCATACATTTCATATATATTATCATTTAATTAACTCCGTTGACAATTACGTGTGAGTTCTGTGTATATATAATTAAGAACTTGTAGCTGCTTTGAAAGAAAGGCAGTGATTATATGTTCTAAGAGAGCGAGTGGTTGGTTTGATCAAGAAAACGTAATCAAAATGGATTCGTCGTCAAATGGAGGAGTGCCACCTGGGTTTCGTTTTCATCCGACGGACGAAGAACTTCTCCATTACTATTTGAAGAAGAAAATCTCTCACCAGAAGTTTGAGATGGAAGTTATCAGAGAGGTTGACTTAAACAAGCTTGAGCCATGGGATTTACAAGGTACTATTTTACTTATTTAACTCATTTATCAAAAACATAGTACTATTCATTGCTTGTTGTGAATCGCACACTAATTTCACTAATTCTTATCAAACTTTTTGGTTAAATGCACATAAATCTTGATAATTCTTCCACTTATTGATTAATCATTGTTATTGAATATATGGCTGAACACTATTTATGATATAATTTTCAATATTTGTATGTTTTTTGTGTGTTTACAGAGAGATGCAAGATAGGGTCAACTCTTCAAAACGAATGGTATTTCTTTAGCCACAAGGACAGGAAATATCCGACGGGATCAAGGACAAACCGTGCTACTCAAGCAGGGTTCTGGAAGGCGACGGGACGTGACAAGTGCATAAGGAGTTCTTACAAGAAGATAGGAATGAGGAAGACTCTTGTGTTCTACAAAGGAAGAGCTCCTCATGGGCAAAAGACTGATTGGATCATGCATGAGTACCGTCTTGAAGATGCTGACGATCCTCAATTCAACCCTAGTGTATGTTTCTTATTTCGGCATTCTTTGCAAAATTTTAGACTATAATTTTGACAAGATGCGAATATTTTGGATTTTTTCAAATATATATCATAGAGTATATTATCAGAACCATCTTTTCTTAAGAAAACTAACGGGGTAATTGTATAGAATCGCTGGTTTTTATAACTAGTTTTTCAATACGCATATAAATTAGAGAAAATTACTAGAATGATACACAAAAGCTTGTATATGACTAGAATAGTATACATTTTCTAAAAATTACTAGAATGTTTTTAGACTCCTAGTAAATTACAATAAACACCCTTGTTTAATTTTGTTACTATTGATACAAATTTTAATTATTAAATCCACATCATAATTTTGACAATCCACGTCACTAACTAATTTGTG